GCGTCGGCAGGCTGTATTTTATTTTATAAATGGGTTGGCCTTGTTGTCGCAACTTAATCTTGTTGTCAGGGCGACTTAGTAGAACGCACTTAGTCCGAAGTCGTCTGCCATAATAATTGTCATGATTTCCAGCATCTGACAGTGGACTTGATACATTCTCAAACGTTTCGCCGGCTTCATAGTCGGCATCATCAGTGAGTTTTGCTATTCGCCGCACCAAGCTACGAACTCTTCAAAGAGACAGGTCTTTCCTTTTGCAATCACCTTGATATTCCATTGTCTTGACAATGGTCGCAATTTTCGTTCCTTATACATATTTTCTTTTGTTGCATATCGTTTGGAAAAAATCAACCGACTAAATGACCAAACGCCGTCTCGTTTGAATAATTTTACTGCTCAAGAATAATGCTATATGTTGCATTAGCCTTGATAATGGTGGCTTTAATTTTGCCTTATTTTTATATACTTTTTTTTGTCTCAATCTTACAGAGCTTTTTTCTTATATTTTAATGTGTTTGTTTTCAGCTCACTCTTCAGCCGGAGACCATTGAATCGCCTCTTGTCTTTGCATTGCCTGATAAAACCCGTCTCTCTCTGACCGACTTTTCTCTCCATCTACCAATGGAACTCCTCGGAGTCGAACAATGTCTTCGAGTACTTATCTGTTTGATGTTAGAGCAGAAGGTATGAATATCTTAGTGATATGATTTCCCATTTTTTGTATATGTTAACGTAATAAATTTTGTTTACATTTTGCTTCAATTATTTCAGGCTAATTACTTCCGTGGTCCTTGCATGTATGTGTTAAATCTATCAGTAACCTCTCCAGCTTGTCATTTTATCGAAATGCCAGGTTTTTTCATTACTAGCTAAAATACTTTATTTGGTTGTGCCTTAAGGCATAATTACATATTAGGTCGTTTGTGTTTTAGATCTTTTTCCTTTTTATAAGCTTGATTCATAGTCCAGGTGAAGGTATGGCTTGGATAAATATGAATCACCTACGTTTTCTGTCTTAAAATCTTGTTGAGGTTAGTACTGCAAAAATTTTATATAACTTACTTTTAAATCTAGAATATAGGCGGCTAGATCCACTTTAAGGGCTTTTCCAAAGGCTATTCTATTGATTATCTGTTACGTTATGTGGTTCAGTTATCCAGTTAATCCATTCATTTATTCCAGAAAAACTAATTTATACAATTAATTACAATTTCTCTTACATAACTCCATATCCATATATTTATGAGTTTAGCTTAATAATTACCTCTGATTCAACTTTAACCTTAGGGATAATTTTTTCCTTTTATTTTACCTGTCGGGGTTAGGAGATGCCCATAAATGTAGTCTTTTAACTTGTATTGTCATTTGCATTAGAGATATGACTGATCCTTGGTAAATTTTACTACTTTATATTCACCTTATCTTAACTTTCTGACTAACTGTTTGCAATTTAGTTGCTTTGATGGAAAAAGTATCTCAAAATGTCCTATTTCTTGCTAAGCATTTATTTGGCAGCGTATCAAATCAATACAATTTTAATTAATGATCTATATAATTTGTCACTAGAGCTATCTTAAGTGTGTGGGCTTGTTCCCTATGTTCCATATTTTGTAGATGATTTATTACATTTTTGTTTGAATGAAATCAGATGAATATCGTTATTGTTAGGATCTAAATAACAATGAAGTTTTTAAGCAAGAAAGACAATTGGTGATTGCAAACACAATGTCACTAGCCTAAAATCTATCTTCGGAGAGGAGCTTTAAATGATTATATATTCTGTGATGCTTTCTTGTTTAGCAAAGACTAATTTCAACTTTGCTTTATTTCTTATAAAAGTAATTGTTTCGATCTTATAAAATTAGGCCTTTGTTTATATTTTATATTATTTCTTATATCCTATAAATTCATTAGGTTTCATGCCCGAGTAATGTGTGTATCACTTGATGAATTTCGTTGATTTCGCATTGTCAAGTTAATTGTAAGATCAGATTCCTTTATTTTATTTTGGATAGCATCATGAGTATGACGATTATTTCAGGCATTCTGCCGCTGCCTTAAATTTGATGGATATCCATTATAAATTATACTTTTATGGGAACCAGCTATTTGGCTTAATGAAAATACACCCTATTGT